TGGAGTGTAGGCACTGTAGGGAGACTCGCTGCTGATATATTGTCGGTCAGCGTCTTTCACTTTTGTAGTCTTTTTGCTGAAGTAATCAGGCAGCGATCGAGAGCTCCAAGCAATGTAAGATGGCTGCGAATAAGCATAAACAAGTGCGCTAGCCGACTCTATGCATCTAACATCTCTATTTATACCATCCATATTACTGTTTTTGACAAAATTCCTTAGGTTATCGAGGTGACTTACGAAGCCGGTTATACTTTCCGCAACATTGATATGTCCCACTTTCATTTGGATATGAGAACTAGAAGGCTTTACCTAGATAATGCCACAGAGGTAAAATTATCTGGATTTGGAAACAATCGAAACTAAAAGATATATTTTCTTTCAAGGTAGTTGTAAGCACTGAACTAAGGGGACTGCAGTTGAAGAATGGCGAGAACGTATACCACAATTACTGGCGAGGATGTGTTGAACATGCACCACTCAGCTGGCATCATAAAGGTCACGGTGAGTGAATGTTTTGCAGCGAATGTGTTCGTCAGAAAGCATGTAGTTTAGTCATTATGCAGAATAAGGTCCTGTGAAATAATGTTTTCTTCCATCATCTTCCGTCTAATTTGAGTTCTTACCAGAAGGTTAGAAAAATTTTCGTCAATAAATCTTATTGCAGAAAGTGTCATGACAGTCGCTGATTGTGCAGAGGTTCTCTTCTACATAGTGGTGGATATGCTCGGACTGCTTACATGGCGTGGTATGAATGAACGTCAGGTATATCGTCTTCAGCCTGCTATTTGATAACTGCATAGAAAGAAATTACAACCCAACCTATTTTCAAAAGTGTTTTTTAACCATTTTTACTATAAATAACTTGCTGACGCAGAATCTAACTATTTTCGATTGATAAAAAAAGGCTGACGTAGATGTTGTACATCACGAAAAGACGGCCTCATGCTTTTCTTTCCTTTCTACATTAAAATTTCCAGATTGCAAAATGCAAAGAAGGATTCATTGAACAGAATCGTAAAAGATTGCCTGTTCCGTAAGTTTTCATCTGGATATTCTCTAGATCCATTTTTGACCTATAGTTCTTCCAGCTTATTTGATTACTGGAAAATTGTTCGTTGCGCCCAAGCGGTAGACGTGAGTAAGTTTCGACGGCAAGATGATTATCTTCTCTTGGATGGCATCCGAGGCGGAGCTACAGTATCTATCGTGAGTTG